CAGGGGATCGCCGGCCGGGCCCGCCCCCGGCCCCCGCGCCGGCCCAGCCTGCGTGCCCCGCCGAGAGGCCGCTTCCCCAGAGGCGTGCCCGCGGAGCCACAGGTCCCGGGAAGGACCGCGTCTCCAAGGCGGGCTTTCCCGGGAGTAGATTATCTTCTAAAGCAAGACTGCCCGGCCCCCACCCCGACGCCTCTTACGCAACACCGAGGCTGGTGGCGGAGTGCGCGCCCCGGGAGTTCAGGGTCCAAGTCCCGCCTCCGGACGGCCCCCCGCTACACTCGTGGGGTCAGCGGCTGTCTTTCTCCCTCATCTGCTTTCCAGCCTGGCCCGCCTAGGCATGACCTCAGGCGACAGCCCATTCCCCCGACCCCGTGGCAGGGAGCTCGCAACAAGCAAGAGGCGGTAGCCCCTTCATCTTCCAGGCAATCCGCCGACTCCCCGGGATTTCGGGAACCGCAGCTATGAGAAGCGGCATTCGTTCTCTGAGAGACGGGAATTTATTCAGACACGGTCCTCTACTGTCCACACAGCAGGTCCCCAAGCCCTCCCTGCGGCTGAGGGGGCTGGTGCCCTGCGTGGTCCATTCCTGCTAACAGCCGGCTGGGGGGCTCCGGCGCTCGGGGCTCATCTCCTGGATGCTTTCATACACATTTTCCAGGGGGTTGTGGTCCACACCCGGGCCCCTCTGCAGGCGGGCCAGCGACGATCCCGCACCCTCCGAGTCCGGCCGCTCTGTGCTGGGCCCTGCAGCCCTCCTTTTAGGCTTGTTGACCTTGGCGTACAGGATGTCCACCTGGAGAGAGGAGGCCACCCAGGAAGGGTCAGCACCACCCCTCTGCCAAAGATCCGCCCAGTCCCACCCCCGACACCTGCCCCCTTTACCTGCGTGGCTGGGGTCACCTCAGCCTTCCCCTCCTGCCCTGGGAGGCCCTTGTCTGTCGCCTTGAGCTTCTGGATGCAGGCATACTCAGCCACCATGGGTCCCGCCCCGGGCCTGGCCCAGTGGCTGGTCAACCGGGCCCCTGACCACATTTCAGGGCTGGCCGCCAGGCTGACTCTGGGGAGCGCAGCCAGCCCCACAGTGGAATAGGTAGCCTTGGGGCCAGAGGAGGCTGAGGTGGTGACAACAGGCGGGGGCCGGGCCGGTTCTTGGTGTGGAAAGGTCGGGAGCGCTGCAGGTGGCCTGGGGGTGCCCCTGTACCCCTCCAGCCAGTGTGGGTGCAGGAGGTCCATGCTGGCAGGCCGCGGGGCTGAGGGTGAGGGTCAGGGTAGAGGTCACTCAGGGGCAGCAGCATGGTCCTGAGTGTTTGGGGGGCCCAGTGTGGTCAGGGTGCAAGAATGGGGATGCCAGCCCTCCTGGGTGCCTCCAGACCCCCAGAGCCCAGCCTACCTTTATCCACAGCCCTGCCCCTGGGCCCCAGGCCCCCCCTCACCTTGGCCGCCCTGTAACCTGAGCCCTGCCCTGCTCCCCAGTCCTCCACCCCACACCCTGGTCCCCACCCCTTACCCCAGCCGCCCTAGCACCCTCTCACCTTGGCTGCCTCGTGCACCCCGGTGCAGCTCATGCAGCCTGGTGTCTGATTTGCTGAGGGCGCAGAGGTGGGTCCGTCTCAACAGCGACTAGGGGCAAGGAAGGCCAGTTGGTACCCTGTTCTGCCACCCTGGCCAGACCCAGGGACTGCCCGGCACTCACCACATCTACTGGCATCACAGCACCCTGCAGCCCCGCCCGCGGCCTTGGTGCCTGCTTCCTGGGGGCAAGAGGGTCATCAGGCCAAGGTGGTAGAGGTGGGCCCTGGGGCCAGCCTCTCCCAGGGTCCCGGGTACAGTGGGTGAGTGCTGGAGCTGGGTGTAGGGCCCTGCTCAAGCCCCTTCTTGGGCTGACCCTGTCCCTGCCAAGGTCAGCCTCAGGCCGGCAATGCTCCCCAAACCCAGGGTTAGGGGTGCAGGGAAGACAGGCACAGATGGATGTACCTGTGGCAGGCTGCGCACAGCGCCCACAGCCCGAGAAGCAGTGCAAAGCCAGTGAGGACCCAGAGGGCAGGAGGGGCCAAGGGCAGCTGTGGCCCCATCTCCACACCAACCGGCCTGGGGCAGAGAAAGAGGACGCTGGGGCCAGGAAGGGGGTCTCAGCAGCCCTGCACCTGGCTCTGCCTGGCAGGCTCCTTGCGCTGACTCAGCACACAGGAAACCCCCCCCCCCCCCAGGCCCGCAGCTCTCCTCCCGTGGAGGCCTCGGCACCCCTCCAGCAGGTCCTGGTGAGGGGATGGGAGGTGAGTTCTGCTGCCTGCCCCATAGGGACCTCAGAAGTGATGTGGTTACTGCTGAGCACTGGCCAGCGAGGAGTGGGCAACTGCGGATCGACCCAGGCCCGCTGTGGTCACTGCAGCCCAAACCTGGGGCCACAGCCCTCGCCAGCCAGGCCTGGTGACACCCCCCCACGACCCGAACAAGAGCCCAGCTTCCTGAGCTGGAGAGGGGCTGGGGACGGGGGGCTGCTCTGGGGCCCGAGCACCCACTCACTTGTCTGGCTTTCGGCCCCTCCCCTCCCACCACCTCCCTGCAGAGGATGTGTTCCCTTGCTGGGGTCCTAGCAGGGCCGCGGAGCAGCGATGGCTGATAGATCCGCCATGCCGCCCTGTTCTTAGACCAACGGAGGGGGCAGGAGGTGGGGGAGGCGGGAGGTGAGGGGTGCAGGCCAAGTCTCCAGCCTGTTCTCAAATCTTCCTGTTGGGCAGGGCTCCCAGGGGGAGCTCGGGGCCCTGGTCCTCATGCCCCCCGGAAGGGTGCCGCGGAAGGGGACTGGAGGCTGGTGCAGCACTTACCCGAGCCCGGGCACGGCGGTTTCCTTTCAAGCCTCCAGGAGGGAGCCAGCAGCCTAGGCGTGCCGTGGCTGTGCCCCCACCTCACTTCCTGCTGTGCGTCTCAGCGCTTCCCCACCCAGCCACCGCCACAGCCCGCCACCTGCTGTAGCCGCCCCCCCCATGTCTAGATGTGACTCAGGGTGACATTGGCTGACGCTTACGGTCTGAGCACTTTGCGCCCCACCCTCCTCACACAGTGGTCTCCGCTGTGTAGATGATGAGTCCTCCTGTTGTAGGGAGGCCATGGGAGTCACCTGCTGAGGCCCCCGCCACCACTGACAACGCCAGACGACCACTACAGGACCCTAGCTTTCCCCATGCTGTGTGGCCCCCGAGAGCAGCCCCAATGCCCCACCCTGTCTTGGGGGTGTCTGCCAACATGAGAGGATGGTAAGCAGCCCCATCCGGAGGAAAATGGAGATACCAGCCGTCCTGGGTGCCTCCAGACCCCCCCAAGCCCAGTCCACCTTTCCCCATAGCCCTTGCAGAAACCTCTCCCCTAAAGACCCTGTAGCAGCCAAGTGTCCACTGAGAAGCACGTCACGAAATCACTTTAATGTCCTGGCTCAAGAAACCTTAAGACGCTGGCAAACGTGTCCAGAGGGGACCCCCATCCTCTCTCCAGTGGGCAGTGACCGTGGGCTCGGCCGGCAAGAGGTGGCGCTGGCCCAGCCCGGGAGCACGAGGCCCCTACAGGGGTCTCTCCAGGGCAGCAGGTCTTCCCAGGGTCCTTCCCAGAGGCTGGCAGCGGTGGTTGTGGCTCTAGAACTCAGTCATCTTCTTGTGGGTGTCTGCCTTCCTCTGTTCCCGCTGCAGCCCCGCCTCCTGGGCCCGGAGCTGCCCCAGCTGCCGCTGGGCGCCTGCCAGCTTCTCCTTCAGCTGGGCCGCCACCACGCTGTGCCTGCAGAGGCTTGCGGTCAGTGTGGGCCGTGTCTCCAAGCCCAGGTACCCCGGCACCGCCATCCGCAGTCACCCAGACCCTCCTAGAATCAGCCCACCACTCAGGGTCGGGCTGGGATGCTCTGTGCAACCCCGGCCACCCCCATCCCGTGCATGCGCCCTGCGTACTGGCCGGCGTTGCGGGCAAGGGCCTCCTGGATGCCCCGGATGTCCTTCTGGGTCCTCCCGATCTGCTCCTCGGTCTGAACGATCCGAAGGCTCAGGGCCCGCTTGGCACTCTTGCTGGCGTGGTAGGCTTCCTTGCCGCCCCTTGCCCGTGGGGGACCTGCCCCCACCTCCAGGGCTCCTGGAGCCTGGGCCTGGAGCTTCTCGTTTAGGAAGTCAAACACATCCCGAGGGGGCCGGCGGCCGGCATGCACGGCCCCCTTCCCCCGACACTTGGGGGGCCTGTGGGTGGTGCCCTTGCCGCCCTTCACCCTCTTCTGGAGGGCCTCCGTGCACTGGTCCAGGGACTTCCCTCGGGGCAGCACCACGGTGTGGATGGGCTCCACCCGGCCCTGAGCGTATCGGCCCAGACCTAGGGAGACCCAGGCGCTGGCCATGCTGCCAGCCCCCGACCCCACCAGGACAGCACACCCACCCTTCCAGACTCCCCCCCCAGGATAGCATACCCACCCTTCTAGGCCCCCCCCCAGGACAGTGCACCCACCCTTCCAGGCCCCCCTGCCACAGAACAGGGCACCCACCCTTCCAGGCCCCCCCCCAGGACAATGCACCCACCCTTCCAGGCCCCCACCCAAGACACTGCACCCACCCTTCCAGGGCTCCCCAGGACAGGGCACCCACCCTTCTAGGCTCCCTCCAGACAATGCACCCACCCTTCTGGCGACCCCCCCAGGACAGGCCACTCACCCTCCCCAGGCTCCCCCAGGAGAGGACACTCACCCTCCCCAGGCCCCCCCAGGACAGGACGCTCATCCTCCCTTGGCTCCCCAGGACAGGACACTCACCCTCCCCAGGCCCCCCCCAGGACAGGACTCTCACCCTCCCCAGGCCACCCCAGGACAGGACTCTCACCCTCCTCAGGCCCCCCCCAGGACAGGACGCTCACCCTCCCCGGAACCCGCAGGACAGGAGGCTCACCCTCCCCAGGCCCCCCCAGGCTAGAATGCTCACCCCGCCCCCAGAACCCCCAGGACAGGGCACTCACCACCCCCAGGCTTATAGCCCATCTTGGTGAGGAGCCTGGAGCCGATGCCACGTGTGTGCACCTCCCATCCGGCGAAGGCAGCGCTGCACATCCCGTCCGCTGTGGGCCCGGTGTCCACGACTACAGGGAACAGAGGGCAGCACCCAGCTGGCCGGATGCAGCCAGACCCAGAGAAGCCGATGAGGCTGCCCAGGTCTGCGCGGGCATCTGTGATAACGGGCAAAGGCCCAACCCAGCTGGCACCGCTGGCTTGCGACCACCACCCTCGGCTGACCCCCAGTCCTGTCCTCTCTGTCTTCACCAGCCTGGACACCCCGCCCCTTGTAGCAGCCCAGCCTCTTCTCCCTGACTCCAATCTCCTCTCAGCCAGCTCCACCCTCATCACTAAGGAAATGGGGTCCCCTCCACTCCCGCCTTCTTCCTAGCCGACCTAGTAGGGGGGCTGGCATCTCCCACACTGCTGGGCAGAGGGCGTCACCCTCTCCATCCACCCCACCCCCGGGGGCACCCTTCCCACACCCACATCCAGCGGTGTCTTCCTGTGCATCAACTTCCTCGGCAGCTCCTGCACCGGCCCCAACACTGTCCCCACTGCCACGACCGCAGCCCCAATCACGTCTGCCAGGCAGGCTGCTCCTGACTGCTCTCCTGCGGCGGCCCCAGCACCTGTCTGCACCCTCCTCCTGCTCACGGCCCTGCCCCCGCAGGCAGAGCTCAGCGTCCCTCCGCTCTGCCCTGCTCTCACGTGCTGAGGGCAAACCCGATAGCTGTGGACAGCTCTGTGCCCCTCCCCTGCCCAGCCCCCGCTCGCCGCCACACCTCTGGCGTAGCTGGAGTCGTCCCCGTCGCCCCCGTCACCGCTGTCTGAGTCGGAGGACTCTGCAGGCTCCATGCGCAGCGGGGGCAGTACGCTGTCCCCCTCCACCACGACCTCCTTCAGCAGCAGCGAGTCAAACTTGACAGTGTAGAAGCCGCTATCCACATCTGGGGTGGGACAGGACAGGCTGCAAGGTCAGCGATCCCAACGAGTGGGGTGGGATCGAGGTGGACACTACAGGGATCTGAGGCCCGCCCTGGGGCAGAGGTCCTGCTCACCTAGAACCTCAGAGCCAGGTCCCGATGCCTGACCTCGGGGGGTGGGAGGGGCCACCTGGCAATAACACAGCAGGAACACGGGAAGGGCTGTCCAGGAAGAGCCCTTAAGGAGCGACCGTGGGTCAGGGAAAACCGCCAAGAACAGAGGGAATGCCAGCCGCGCCCCTCGGCTCCAAGCCCAGGAAGGAGATGGGATACTGAACCGCATCACCAAGACCACGTTGTCTCACCAGTAATCCGCGCTGGGTGCCACAGGCCGTCCTGGTGCTTGGCCAGACACGCGGAGCCGGCCTGCAGGGAGCTCAGGTCTGGGTCCTGGAAGGGGCGAAGCTCGTCCACAGGGACCACCTGCCCATGGGAGAACCTGCAGAGAGGGGCATGGGGGAGGGGCTCAGAAAGTCAGGGCGGCCCCAAGGCCTGCGGCCTTGTCCTGGGAAGGGCACACATGCATGCACCCACACATACACACACACATGTGTACAGAGATACAGACATACACAAGTACCTACATACGTAGATATACACATGTATACACATATACACTCACATACACACACGTACATATGCATACATATACAAATGTCAACACAGACATATGCACATACACAGACATACATACACACACATATACACAGAGAGACATACAAGACACATACACACAATACACACTCACACACAGAGATACAGATATACCAACACACATACACATATATGCAGAAGCATCAAAAGAAGATGGAAGGAATACACAGAGTCACTATACCAAAAAGAACTGGTTGATTTTCAACCATTTCAGGAGGTAGCATATGATCAGGAACTGATGGCTCTGAAGGAAGAAGTCCAAGCTGCACTGAAGGCATTGGTGAAAAACAAGGCTCCAGGAACTGACGGAATACCAATAGAGATGTTTCAACAAAAGGATACAGCGCTGGAGGTGCTCATTTGGAGGACAGCTACCTAGCCAATCGACTAGAAAAGATCTGTATTTATGCCTGTTCCAAAGAAAGGTGATCCAACCAAATGCAGAAATTATCAAACAATATCATTAATATCACACGCAAGTAAAATTTTGCTGAAGATAATTCAAAAGTGGCTGCAGCAGGACACTGACAGGGAACTGCCAGAAATACAAGCCTGATTCAGAAGAGGACATGGAACAAGGGATATCACGGCTGATGTCAGATGGATCCTGGATGAAAGCAGAGAATACCAGAAAGATGTTTACCTGTGTTTTATTGACTATGTAAAGGCATTCGACTGTGTGGGTCACAACAAAGTATGGATAACATTGCAAAGAATGGGAATTCCAGAACACTTAATTGTGCCCATGAGGAACCTGTACATAGACCAAGAGTCAGTTGTTCACATAGAAAAAGGAGACATTGCATGGTTTAAAGTCAAGAAAGGTATGCATCAGGGTTGTATCCTTCACCATGCTCATTCAATTTGTATGCTAAACAAACAATCCCAGAAGCTGGGCTATATGAAGGAGAAGACATCAGGACTTGAGGCGGACTCACTAACAACCTGTGATACGCAGATGACACAACCTTGCTTGCAGAAAGTGAAGAGAACTTGAAGCACTTACTGATGAAGATCCAAGACTGAAGACTTCAGTACAGATTACACCTCAACATAAAGAAAACAAAAATCCTCATAACTGGACCAAAAAGCAATGTTATGATAAACAGAGAAAACACTGAAGTTTTCAAGGATTTCATTTTACTTGGATGCATAATCAACGCCCTTGGTAGCAGCAGTCAAGAAATCAAACGATGCACTGAACTGGGCAAATCTGCTGCAAAAGACCTCTTTAAAGTGTTAAAAAGCAAAGATGTCACTTTAAGGACTAAGGTGCGCCTCACCCAAGCCATGGTGTTTTCAATCACCTCATATGCATGTAAAAGCTGTACAACGAATACAGAAGACTGAAGAAGAACTGATGTCTTTGAATTACGGTGTTGGCGAAGAATACTGAATATACCATGGATTTCCAAAACAACAAACAAGTCTATCTTGGAAGAAATACAGCCAGAATGCTCCTTAAAGGCATTTGGACATGTTATCAGAAGGGATCAGTGCCCGGAGAAGGACATCATGCTTGGTAAAGTAGAGGGCCAGCATCAAAAACAAAGACCCTCAACAAGATGGACTGACAGAGCGGCTGTAACAACGGCCTCAAGCCTAACAACAATTGTGAGGATGGTGCAGTGTTTCGTTCTGTTGTACGGAGGGTCACTATGAGTGGGAACTGCCTCGATGGTGCCTGATAACAACAACATATACACAAGACATACACACACACACAAATCCACATGCACACACAGACATATATACACATATATGTACATACATGTATGTTTACACTTACACACATACACGCACATGCAAATATACATATACATGCATTATACACTCACAAATACACATGTACACATAAATACACATATACACACACTCATACACATACACACACATATAGACATACACACATGTACACGTATAAACATGCACATACACATACATGCAGCTACAGATATACCTGCATACACACACATATATATACTCACCCAGACATACACACATATGCATATATATACATGCGGTGCATAGCTTTCTTTTACATGGCTTTTCTTGCCATGGTCTTGTAACTTCCACCAAAAGACTGAGTGGGGCTATGCAAATAAGGTGCTTGTGGAAGGGGATTGGACAGCTTGCTAATAGTGCAAATAAGGTGCATGGCAAATAAGGTATATGGAACCCTAACAAGGGGATTGGTCGATCTTGCCATCCTGTTAGGCTTAGAATGAGCTGTCCCAGAGGTGGAAAGGGAGCTCACTACCACCAACAAGAAGAGACAAGAGGGGTCTTCTTTGGACCTGGGGTCCCTGTGCTGAGAAGCTCCTAGACCCAGAAGACAGAAAGAGAGAGCTGTAACACCAGAGATGGTGCCAAGACGGTGAGAATTAGCAAAGAAACGGTGGTGGCAGAACCACAAGACCGGCGCTAGAAACGTAGTCGACTTCCCGGCGGATGGAGCAAGGTGGTTATAGAGGGTGTGCCGACTCACGGCTGAGCACCTTCAGGCTGAAGCTTACTGGTGGAGTGGGGTGCCCTCAGGCACTTACTGGCAGAGCTAAAGAGCTTTGTAACACTTGCCCAAGCAGGGCAAAGGCCATGGCAAGAGGCTGAGAGCCAAGAGCCAGAGAGAGGCCTGCCTAAGGGCACAGCTCAGAAGAGGCTGTCCTCATCTAAGAACTGTATCCTGAGTCATTCCTGATCCTGAACTGTAATCTGTCACTTCCCTAATAAACCCCATAATTGTTAAGTATTTTCCATGAGTTGTGTGTGGCCATTGCAACGAATTATCAAACCTAGCAGAGCAGAGACAGCTATGGGAGGGACGGCTGGCGTCAGAATTGGTAAAAAAGTTGGAGAGTGGAAGTATGTCTGACCTCCGCCTCCAAGGAATCAGCCTTGGGTTGTTGATGCTGATAATGATTCTTACCCTACCTCCCACCTTGTGAAGTCAGACGGGGAGGTCTGACACTGCTGCCATGCCATTTTTATAATATGCATATATACATACACTCACGCACACATACATACACACAGATACCAAACATATGCACAAATACACACATACACACATGTACAGAGACACACACATACATATGTATTCACATACATACACTCACACGTACACATACATATATACTCAAATACACATATATACACACACATATAAAGCAAATGTACACACATGTACAAACATACACACGCATACACATACCACAAACATACAAACACACATATACACACACGTACACGCGCATATGCTCTTTAACACTCTGTCAAGATGGCCTCGGCTACTCAGAAAAGATGTCTCATGCTGACCCCAGCTTTCTGGGCTGCAGTAACAACTTGGCAGATGAGCTTGTGATCACAGCTTCCCATTGGCTCTCATCCAACCTGAACCTCCAGTTACTAACAGCTAACCAAGGTGTGCACATGTGTGCACACACGTGCACATGTGGGTATGTATGTGCATGCGTGTGCATGCAGTAATACGACTGAGCCCTCCCCAAACTAACAAGAACCTAGTTATACTAGATATACTAGCGGTGCCTTGATGTTCAGATAACAGTGAACCAGTAAATCGAATCCAGAACCAAGATAGAGCAACAACCAGGAGCAGAGTTCCACAGGAGGGGCCAGTATCTCCCATGAGCATAGGTGCAAAAATCCTCAACAGAATACTAGCAAATCAAATTCATCAATGTGTAAAAAGAATTATACACCATGACCAAGTGGGATTCATTACAGGTACACAAGGCTGGTGCAACATTCAAAAATCAATTAATGTAATCTACAACATCAACAGGCTAAAGAAGGAAAATCATCTGATCACATCAATAGATGCAGAAAAGGCACTTGACAAAATCCAACACCGATTCATGAATTAAAAAAAAAAACAAAAACAAAAACTCTGAGCAAACTAGGAAGAAGAGAAAGTCCTTAACTTGATAAGGAGAACCTACCAAAAAAACCCTACAGCTAACATCATGCTTAATGGTGAGAAAACTAGAAGCTTTCCCCCTAAGATTAGGAACGAGTTAAGGCTGTCCCCTCTCATCACTCCTGTTCAACTTGTACTAGAAGTCCTTGCTAAGGCAATTACTCAAGAAAAGGAAATATGAGGGGAAAAAAAAAAACTGTCCTGTTTACAGATGACATGACTGTCTATGTAGAAAGTACCAAAGAATTGACAAAAAAAACCTCCTGAACTAATAATGATTTTAGCAAGGTTGCAGAATACAAGGTTAATATACCAAAGTCAATTGCTTTCCTATATACCAGCAATGAACAATTGGAATTTGAAATTATAAACACAACAACATTTACTTTAGCACCAAAAAAAAAAAAATGAAATCATTAGTGTCATGAAATGAGTTCCTTTATGTGGCCTTATGCCTTGGTTCTTTGGAAAAACAGCTTGAGAGATTTTTCCTCTAAGCCCTGAGGCATTACTTTTGCCTTAGTTTTCCACCCCAGAGAGTTTGTTACTTTTGTCCAGGTTGATCAACATTTCCTAGGTGTTTTAGTGATCTAGTGCTGCTATAACAGAAATATCACAAGTGGACGGCTTTAACGAACAGAAATTTATTCTCTCACAGTTTAGAAGGCTACAAGTCTGAATTGAGAGTGCCAGCTCCAGGGGAAGGCTTTCTCTCTCTGGCAGTTCTAGGGGAAGGTCCTTGTCATCAATCTTACCCCGATCTAGAAGCTTCTCAGAGCAGGCACTGCGGATTCAAAGGAAGTGCTCCAGTCCCAGTGCTTCTTTCTTGGTGGTATGAGGTCCCTCTC